GGGAGCACTCCTAAGACTAAACAAATGTCACCAGAGAAAATAAAATCACAGCAAAGAAAGCAGACCAACCAAATACTAACTAAAGGCAAAAAATAAAATCAACTACCCACTAAAAGCAGTTAAAGGAAACACAAAAGAGCACAGAATAAAACAACCAACATATAAAGAACAGAGGAGGAGGAATAAGAAGGGAGAGAAGAAAAGAATCTCCAGACAGTGTATATAACAGCTCAATAAGTGAGCTAAGTTAGGCAGTAAGATACTAAAGAGGCTAACCTTGAACCTTTGGTAACCACGAATCTAAAGCCTGCAGTGGCGATAAGTACGTATCTTTCAATAGTCACCCTAAATGTAAATGGACTGAATGCACCAACCAAAAGACACAGAGTAATAGAATGGATAAAAAAGCAAGACCCATCTATATGCTGCTTACAAGAGACTCACCTCAAACCCAAAGATATGCACAGACTAAAAGTCAAGGGATGGAAAAACATATTTCAGGCAAACAACAGAGAGAAGAAAGCAGGGGTTGCAGTACTAGTATCAGACAAAATAGACTTCAAAACAAAGTAACAAGATAAAGAAGGACACTCCATAATGAAAACAAGCATTCAGCTTTAACCATTACTCTTCCCCCAAATACCACAACACTGGCAAAGCAAAATTCAGCATCCTATCACATCATAAAAATGCAATTTTCTGAATAATACTTAGGATCTGGACTTTCAACAATTTTATCTATGGCAGAAAAAGTATAAATGCTTTTATAAGGTAAAACTGGCCACGATCAATAAAATAAACTCCCACCTAACATAAAGAGCTTGCTGGTGGGAAGCTCCTATAAAATAGCTGGCAATTTATCACAATTTTGTTGTTGTTCTTAAATTACAACTACTAACTTACAGAATGGCTAAAATTAAAAAGACAAACAGCAAGTGTTGGTGAGGGTATAGAAAAACCAGCACTTTCATATATTACTGGGCTGGAGTGTAAACTGGCACAGCCACTTTAAAAACTGTTGGCAGGATCTACTAAAGCCAAGCCCAGCAGTTCCACTTCTACACAGGTCCCCGGCAGAAAGGCACACTTCTGCACCAAAGACATGTAGATGACGTAATCAGGAGAATGATTAGAGCACCACTCATGATAGCATAAAAGTAGAAAGAACCTAGACGTCCATCAACAGAATGGATTAAGTCGTACATTCTTATAATTGTAATAATACAGCAATGAATACTCATGGATAAACCTCAGAAATGTGGTGAACTATCCTAAGTGAGAGAGATCAAACAAAGACCGCATACTGTGTGATCCCATTTTATGAAATTCTAGAAAAGTCAAACTACAGTGAAAGAAAGCAAATTAGTTGCTTGGGCTCAGGGCAGGGGATCAACTGGAAAAGGACTCAAGAAAACTTCTTTTAGAGTGATGGAATGGTTCCAGATACTGATGTATACATATGTGTAATACAATGACTGAAATTCAAATTGTACATCTAAGTCAGTTTTACTCTATGTAAATTATACTTCAAACTTAAAAGAAAAAAAAAGGAAGGTAAAAGAAACAACTAATGTGGAAAAACAAAACATTAGGGAAGAGGGGGAAAAAACTGTCTGAGTGACAGAAGCCAGGAAAGCAAATTATGTCACTGTGTAACGCCATTTACATAAAGCTCAGAACAGGCCACTAAGCTGTGCTTCCAGAAGTCAGCTTAGTGGTCATCACTGTCCAGGGAGGTGGTGACTAGGAGAGGACACAGGGAGGCTGGTTACGTGGTGTGTGCTTTGCAAATCCACTGAGTTTGCTCTGATTTGTGCACATTTCTATATATGTTATTCTTCAATTACAAAAAAGTTTATTTAAAAATTCATTGTTTATCTAATATAACTAAGCACCTGGTATTCTACCTCTAAAAAAGTTTACTTTAAAAATGATAACCTTTAGTCTGCTTCACATAACATATAGAGAATAGAGATTTCCTCTCCTTTCGTAGGTATAACAGGGTAACAAAAACATTACTCTGACACCAGAGAAGCTGGAATCTGGATGTGCTTTGCCAGGAGTCAGCCACAAGACCTGGGAAAAGGTACTTAAACTTTTCTGCTGTCTACAATGATGGGGCTAGAGGTTTTCATTGGCCCGTTTTCTCTCTCAGGGTATTAAGTAGTTCTGTAAGTGACCAGTCAAGATCTCCAAGAACATCATTTTCCCACAGGTTTTAATATATTCACATCCAAGACATTTCTCTAGCTAAGAAAAACAATTTAAAGTTGCCTGTTCTACCTGAAGAAAAACTTTTGCAAATAGCAGTTGCAGATACTGGATAGCCAGTATCACTGCCCAGATAATCAGTAGTGTTTAAAATAATTTGCTCCATTCATTTCAGAAATGTTAACAGATAATTAAGGATTTATGTAATATAATATCAATTAACTAAAGTTCAACTAGTGAGCTTCTCCAGGAAATCCCTTTGTCCATTTTAGGACAAAAGAATGCACAGGTCAAATCCATTTTTTTGCATTTTATTAAAAATAAGTTACAAGATCTCTGTGGTCAATATATTCAACCTGAATGCAAAACCCTGATGTTGAGTCAGACCAGCCTGGGGCACTGCTCTGAGGGTCACTACTTCAGAGTTCAGCACAGTCTCCTTCAGTCTGACCAAGCCATGCCCCAGCCCCTCCCTAGCCAATCTCAGTGACAACTAGGTTCTCAGGACAACAAACCCAATCAGGCCTCTGCTTACCTACACCACTCTCAGCTTCCCACTGCCCTACAGAAACAGTTCAAGCACCTTCAAAGGAAGGCCTTCCGAAACCCCTCTCCAGGCTTGTCTCTTAATCCCTCCCACCCCTCACTCCCTAAAATTCCAGCCAACTGAACTTCCAGAACATTCACTGGACAGTGCCCTTTACTCAACCCCACGTAGCTCTCGGTTTTTGATGCTGCCATGCGTCTGCATGTTACCTTCCTCCTGCCACCACCTCCCCTGGACAGCAGTGGATTCCTCAGTCCTTATTCTCCTCACCCTCACCCAGTAGGCCGTAACTCAAGGGCAGGGACCAGGCCACCCTATCCAGCTTGATTTTACCAGACCCTAATACACAGTAATTGTCCAATAAATGAAAAATGAGTGGCACTGGATTCCTGCCAGAGGTCCACTATTTTTCTAACTTCTAGCTGCCTTCCAAGTTTATGAACACTCAGATACAAACAGATTTACAATCAGTGCTGCCTAGCTCTGTAAAACATCCAGAAGGTAAAGTGATCGCCTTTCTGAACAATAAAAATCTGGCACAAGGGGAAAAGAATATGAACAAACATTTCTCCAAAGATATACAAATGGCCAATAAGCACATGAAAGGAGACTCAACATGGAAATGCAAATCAAAACCACCTCACAGTCAATGGGATGGCTACAATAAAAAAAGACAGTAAAAAGTGTTGTCAGCGATGTGGAAAAATTGGAACCTTCATACACTGCTGGTGTGAATGTCAAATGGTGGAGTCACTTTGGAAAACAGTCTGGCAGTTCCTCAGTTAAGTTACCATATAACCTGGTAATTCCTAGGTATTACCCAGGAGAAATGAAAACATATGGCCCCACAAAAACTTGTATACAAATGTTCACAGCAGCATTATTTATAATAGCCCAAAAGTGTAACACAAATGGCCATCAGCTAATGAACGGGTAAATGTGATATATCTATACAATGGACTATTTGGCAATAAACCTTGAAACATTATACCAAGTGAAAGAAACCAGTCACAAAAGACTACATACTGCATGATTCCACTTGTATGACATATCCAGACTAGGCAATAATCTGTGGAGCCAGGAATAGATTAACAGTCGCCCAGGGCTGGAGAATTTGCCCTGGGGAAGGAGAAGGGTGAGAAAAGAGACTGAGAGCTGATGGATATGGGTTTTTTGAAGGGATGATGACTATACTATACAACTCTATGACTATACTAAAAATCGCTTAACTGTGTACTTCAGGTGAATTGTATAGGGATTTTATCTCAATAAAGCTATTATTTTTAAAAATTTGGCACAATCTGAAGTTTTTTTGGATCTATGACTTAACTGAAGAACTTAGATATGTTCACTAATTTAGCCGAATTACTTTTACAAAATTAAACAAGAGATTGGGGCAAAATCTGTAGATCTCAAATCCAATTAAAACCAAGAAAACCATCTGTAAGCAAATCGAACTACTAAACTCCAGCAGATGGGCCACTAGCTAAAAGCAGTATGCACACAATTTGTTAAAAAAGTTAACCGTGCCTTGTTGTTGATTACCTTAACAAGTCTTATTTAGCCTACTGGAAAATGGGTGTTTGGAATCACCAAATCTTCTAGTTGGAGACAGTTCTCATAAGAGTAGTTTTCAAAGAATGAAAAAAAAAACACATTTCTACTATTCACAACATTCAAATGCATGAATTTAATTCTCATATCATCCTGACACCTCTTTCTTACATTCTCACCATTAGCCATACTTTCAAACAGCCTGAATCTCACCTCTGCTGCTGCCACCCCAGTTCAGGTCATGATCATCTCTCGCCTAAACTGCAGTGGCCTTTTAACTGATCTCCCCACTTGTGCCTTGGCCTCCTTAAGTTTAGTGTCAATGCAGGAGCCACAAGCCCTATGTCTTGTCTTCTATTCAAAACCCTCCAATATTTCCTATCTTAGAGTAAAAACTCTGCTTTTTACAAAGGCCTCCGGAACCCTAGTGTATTCTCCTCTAGTCACACCAACAAACCCAATTTGCAAATAGCAGTTGCAGATACTGGATAGCCAGTATCACTGCCCAGATAATCAGTAGTGTTTAAAATAATTTGCTCCATTCATTTCAGAAATGTTAACAGATAATTAAGGATTTATGTAATATAATATCAATTAACTAAAGTTCAATTAACTTGCTCTTCTTGAGCCTACCAGGCACTACCCTACCTCAGATATTTGCATCTGCTGTTTCCTCTACTTAGATCTCTCTTCCCATGTCTCACGGTTTGACCTCTTACCTCTCACTTCTTATAGGTCTTTGCTCAAAGATCACCTTCTCAGGGCGGCCTTTGCTGACGAATCTCTTTAAAACTCCAACTCCCTTTCCTAAACCTCGAGGTTCTTTGTCCCTTTCCTCTACTTGCTTTTTCTCCATAGCCCTTATTATCATTTAATGTATGATTTGCTTATTATCTTTCTTTTGCTATTAGAATATAAACACCAAAAGGGCAGGGATGTCAGTTCTGTTCACTGCTGAATCCCCCAACACTTAAAATGGCACCTTGTATAAACTAAACATTCAAGATGAGTATATTTGAACATATAACGGTGTTTCAAAAAGTTGTGTGATCATAAGATGCCTCAGCGCAGTCAATGAATAATTAACATGGTACTTTCTGTAGTAGGTTGTTAAATGGTTTCCGGTTATTCCCTAAAAAGTGCAAATTTGAGATTTTTTTTTTTATTATAAATCACTGAAAAATTGAAGGTGCTTCAAATATACCACCGAAAGACACAAATATTGTAATAAAGCCAACTTTTTTTCCCCCAGTCTCTTGAACTCAAGATCTCAAATGGTCGTCTAAATAATTCCTTACCTTTGGGCAGCATTCACTGATGCACTCTCCTGTATTTTCCTAAAGAGCCCTCCAGAGAAGGAGGTTTGTTAAGCTCTTTCTGTGCAACCTGTTTCAGCAATCAGTGACCAATCTGATAACCATTTTGTTCTCAGGCGTATTTCTCACGCCCATTTCTAAATATGAATACCTGAAATCCAGATTACCCAGAAGTCTAGTTTTGTTGGTAGTGTAAGTCCAGTTGCTGTTTTAAAGTCTAACTATATCTGTCAGCCTGGAACCAAAGTTAACTGACAGCTTTTTCTCCTTCATTCACTCTCTTGAAGGCAGAAAATGCCTGAACAACCCCCAAACTGTTAATGGACTTGGAATAAGAGTTTCCTGTAAAATATCATTTAAGGTCTTACTACCACTACTCGATGCTTCACTAAGCTTAAACGCATAGTAGCTTAAATACGCTGTTCTTCAGATAACAAGATAACTGTAATCCACAACCTTACACCAAGATCTGTTTTTCAGTGGTACCGGTGATTTGTGCTCAATTCTCATTCTCCCTTGGGCTCGCATTTGAAAAAGAACTGTGGGAATTAGCACTCATGGATAGAAAATTCCATACAGTGATCAGTTAGGCCAATAACTACGAATTACTTAATAATGAATCATCACAACGCTTCACCCACTACTTTCAGGAAACAGGGCTAACATAATATATACCTCTCAACACAAAAGGCCTAAGCACTGGTATTATTATTATTTTAGAGGCGAAAAAACTGATATTCAACATCTTGCCCAAAGTCACAAAATTGGTTAAGCGGCAGCCTGACGAGTCTGGTCCTTCAAGTCGGACACTCCTTCCCCAGCACAGTCCGAGAAGCTGTTAACACGATCGGGAAAGAATTCCTTAATCCGAGTCTAATTCCCAAAAAAACCAATCTGTCCTCCCAACTCAAATACGGTGTTAACACTGAAGCCCAGATGCATCAGAAAACGATAAGTAAGAAATGTCACGGCTTTATTCAAAGAAAAACGAGAAAAACCTGACCACAAGACTCCGGACTAGAACCTGCCGTCGGTGCCAAGCAGCGGCACCTGAGGCGCCGCGGGCGGGGCTCCCCGAGGCCCGGGTCCCGTTTGGCCGTCCCACCCGCCCCGCCGCGTCTCCCGGTAGCGGCACTCGGCCCCGCCCGGGCATCGTGCCTGCGGGAGCCCGCGCCCGCCCGGACGCTCCGCGTCAGGCCTCGCCTCGGCCCCGGGGCCCGCAGCGAGGTACCGGCTCACCGCCCCCAACGCCTGCCCGTCCGCGAACCCGGCCTCACTCGGACGCGGGCTGACGTGACACCCTAGCCCGGCGGCGAGAGGGGCCCCCAGGTCCCCGCACCCGGAACGGGCGTCTCTCCCTCCGGCGCCCCCTCGACTCCCTCCCAATCCGCACCTTCTCCTCATGGCGTTCGCTCCAAGCTGGCAGGCGTCGAGGCCCCCGACCTGCTCCACGCGGGGCCGGGCGCACCAACCACACACAAACGACCGACCTCGCTCCGAGACGCCGCTGGAGCCGTTAAACCCCCGCAGAATTTCAAACGAGCCCAGAGGCGGAGCAACCTATCGATTGGTGCCCTGTCCAGTCGCTCCTCGAGAGGCCCCGCCTCCTTCCCGCCCTACAGCGGCTGGTCGCAACTGCGCAGTCGAGGGCGGAGCGTGAAAAGCACTTGCCGGCAGGATCGGCGGCCGCCGTCTGCGCGTGCGCTAGGCACCGCCCATGACGCGCTGCCCGCTTTCGCGGCAGCCCGGAAGGTTCCCGCCCCCGTCGGAGTCCCGCCCCACCCCGCGCGGCCCGGCGCAGTTTTGATTTGAAGCGCGCGCCGCCGCCCGGCTGCCAGGAGGGGTGGGGCGTAGCGGGCACCCAGTGCAGGCCCGCTAGGAAAGCCCGAAGCCTTGTTTGACGGCCCTCATTTATCCGGGTAGCCGCCTGGGAACCGATGCTTGGTGGCAGCTTTCCCCAGATGTAGAACAGGGAGGGAACCCTGAACCTGCTCACGGGCCTGTGCCTACAGGCGGCGATCCAATACGCCACCCAGTCCTGGTGGGTGGGTGTTATCGCCGCTTTACAGGGAACGGTCACAAAAAGGGTTGAGTGACTTACCCTAGTCACACGATTGGTAAATGGAGATCACCCATCAAATTACAGGGGTTTATGATTGTTATATGAAAACTGAAAAACTCAACATCAAAGTACTTTGTATCTTTTTTCGCTGAACATACTACATTCCTAAATGCTTACATATCACTTTTTTTCAATGATTCGATTTTCCAATGCCTAATATCCCAGTGTGCAGATCTCATAATTCAACTATTTTGCTCTTGATAGCTACTCAGATTTTAATTTTTACAAATAAATGACTTCACGCACAAGTCTTTGCATGTTGCATTTTCTTGCAGTTGATTCCTGGGAGTGTAACTACGGAAGGCTCCCTTTCCAGAGGGCTTGCACAGCTGGCCCTTGAACAACATGGGTTTGAACTGCATGGCTTCACTTACGCATGGATTTTTTTCAATAAATATACTGGAGAATCGTTTGGAGATTTGCAACAATTTGAAAAAATATTTTCTCTAGCTTACTTATTGTAAGAATGCAGTATGTAATACATACAATACAGAAAATATGTATTGACTGCTTACGCTATCAGTGATGCTTCCAGTCGGTAGGAGCCATTTTAGTCAGAAGCTACACGTGAATTTTGGACTGCGTGGGGGTCAGCGCCCTTAGCCCCTGAATTGGTCAAGGGTGTTTGTTGATTTGCCTTCCCACCAAGGAAGCCTCATGGGAAGGGTACTCTAGTCTTACCCTCAACCACACTGAGTACTACTGTCCTTTTAAACCTCTTTGCTAGTTTCAAAGTGGCATTTCCTTGTTGACTCACACTTGTTTGATTACAACTGAAACTGGACATTTTCCCCACGTGTACTGGACAACTGTAACTGACAGTTCTCTTCATTTGCCTTTTCTGTGAAGGAAAAGTCGAGGATATTTGTTTCCTTCACCTTCAGGACTATGTTTATCACTAAGAACTTCCTTGGTGCCCTATCTTTCAACTTGCCAGCAGTGTGCCAAGTGTTCACACCACTGACACAGTGGGCCGCAGACATCACTTTTTAAATTTACTTGCACTCTGTGTAAATTGAGTTTTTTCAAAAAGCTTTAAAAATTTGTGACCTTCCGGCACGTTCCCAGGCCAACACTATTTATCCAGAGATGAGAATTTTGCTACCATGTCCTTTATACTGTAGTTCTGGAGCTGACAATGTTGGAAGATGTCCATTCAGAGCATACACTCAGCATGTAAATACTATATAATGTGTGTTCAGTATCTGACCGTTTTACAAGGTCATATTATATTTCTACCGGATAGTGTTGTTCTAGAATATAAGTGCAAAACATTGTCACTGGTTATTCACTTAGCCAGAGGATGTTTTTCTGACTTCCACATATCCCTTCTACAAATGAATAGTGCTGTCAATAGTGTCTTTGATCTTGCACACTAGCTTGACACAGCACTACACAAATTCTAGCTAGGTCCTCGAGGTATGCATTTTCCTTGGAATATGCACAGATACAACTTTGTGATTCCTCTATGGAAAGACTACTTTTGATGATCCAACAACAGAGATGTCTTGTAATAAGTGGCGATGGTATGGATTGGCAAACAAGATAGAAGGCAGGGCAACTAGGAGAGACGGTCTTGCAAAAATCCAGGCAGAAAACAGTAAGTACCTATACTACGGGGGTCGGGGGGAGAGGATGAACCAGAAGCCTTAAAAAAACAAATGGGTAAGCTGACCAGCTGAATGTGGAGATGAAAAGGAAATGTGAGGTCCAGAATATAATTTCTTGCACGAACAAAACTTGGGTAGATGATGAGAATGTCAATTAAGGGGATATAGGAGGAAGATTAATTTAGGGATTCAAAGTGGGGACAGGAGGTTCAGTTTGAACATGTTGAGTTTGAAGTGCCTGTTGAACGACCAGGTTAGAAATACTAGTATGAAGTTAACCAATGAGAGGAAAGCTAGAGATCTTAAGTGGATGATAACAAAGGACAGACAGGGGAGGTGTCAACAAATGGGTGTTGGCAGAGAGGATTCAGAACCAGAAGTGCACCCAGGAGACTGAATGAGGACAAAAGAGAGCATGGTGGAAGCAGAATATGGGCAATTCAAGAAGGAAAGGCTGGTTATCAGATCAAGTTAGAAGAGGACAGAAAAGAGACTAGAAGATGTGGTTACAGCTCAAAATTTTTAGAAGGTAAAGGGAGAAAAGACCCCAGGGGCCTTTATCAGAGCACCATTTGCCCATGCCTGTCACTGCTCTAACAGGGCATATAATCGTACATTCTACAATAAGAAACAAACACTTGAAATTAAAGTGCCTCTGTAAGTTAAAGCAATTAACTCATTTTTTCTAAAGTGTAATCAATCACAGAATTTTCAAATTGGCAAGGTGCTTACTGATCATCTATCTAATCCATCCCCCTCCTTGTATGGTTGAGGAAACTCCAGTTCAGGACAAGTTTCAAGGAAGAACCAGACCAGGCCCAGAGCGACTAGCGTCCAGGCCAGGAGCACATGATGCCCCTGTGTAAAGCCCCTCTGTGCTTCACTAATAAAGAAGAGCTACATGTCCAGAATTAAACATACTGAGAGTATGGCTTTATTTATAATGATACACAGACAGGATTTAGCAAAACATACCTCTTCCTCGTTATCTTATCAACCTGGGCTGTACTTTGTAAACAAAAAAGAGAGTATCACCAGGGCAGAGGTGAACTCTTTCCTCAGATATGCTCTCTAAATCCCAGATAAGTTCTGTGCTCCGCAGCTCTTGGTAGAGAAGTTAGTGGACACTTTGTTAGCAGCTGGGAGTCAAAACTCCTGCATGCCCCTGGGGAACGTGTCCTGGAAAGACTCCACACTGGCAGGGAAGACATCAGGCTTTTACCTCACTCATGGCCTCCAAAAGGCGCGCACTGTTTGTGACGGCTGTTGTCAGAAAAATGAACCTGTACCCTAAGGATCAAAAGCACCAGCACACAGGAGTAAGAGCAGATCACAGGCCCCCAGTACTAGCCACATGGAGCCCTCCAGTTCCACAGCCCTGGCTGGACCAGAGCACAGTTTACAGACATAGATGCATCAGGGGCATGCTCATGGGCTTATACCTGTGTGACAGCTTGTCCCACTAAGCGGAACAGGGCTTCCTGCCATTCAGCCCACAGCAAGACTACAGCAAGTGGGACCCAGGGGCCTTCCTGAGTACTGCCCTTGTCCCCCAGATCCCATGGAGACCTATTCTCACCTTTCTGTTCTCTCTTACCTTTCTCTCTGCCCAGGAACCGGAGGGCTGAGATCTCAGAAAACGTGCAGCCACCCAAGAACACCACCAAGATGAGGCGCAGGGACTCACTGGAAGCCTTGTCATCCTTGGTCATATCTACAAAGATCAGACCAGACCCAGCTCCTCACTGGCCTGCTAGGTAGTACTGGGTGATGCATCCAGCCCTCCTCTTGTTCCACCGTGCCACCGCCTGCCCACACCACGCACCTGTGAATGCCAGCTCACTGCAGTTGAGCAGCCGCAGCACTTCATCCAGGCCCTGCCAGCTTCGCCGCTCCAGCACCTGGGAGGGCATAAGCGCTAGTCTCAAGTGTGAGACAGTATTAGGCTTGGAGAAGGAAGGCTGCAAAAACCAGACTGTCACATTTCTTACGAGTTACTAGAGTAGTTAAAAGCTGGGACAGGCCAGGGACCAAGAGAAAGCAGCGAGAGTGAAAGAAGAATGTGAGCAGGAGCCATGTGTCCGCACCTGCTCCATGATTCGGCAGCTCAGGGGCACGTAAGCACCACTGAAGACATACGCCATGTCCCGTGGCACTTTCAGATCATACTCGCCATCCACACGTGGGATCTAGAGGGCAAAGGGGACACATGAGGCAAGTGACGACTCATCTCTCCAGTCCTTTAGAGGGTCAGAGAAAAGTGGCATAGTCCAAAGAAGAATTCTTATTTCAACGGAAGGAAAACCAACATTAGCCCTGGAAAGAATCTGTAACCAAAGGTTGAAGCTTCTCCTCAGTACCCACCGATTCTCTTCAGTTCCCCCGCGCTCCCCGTGAAGGCCTGCAGGGCAGGATGCCCCTTTGCTGACCCCTCAGTGACCCTGAGGTGGCACTTAGCCTATTCTCTGGCACTGGTAGGTGCTTATTACACGTTTATTAAACGAATCAATCTTTGTGTCTTGTCTCATTAAATTAAGCTCTTGCTATAAAACTAACAAATAATGGATCTCTATAAAAACAAAACAAAAAGGTTTTGTGGGTTCCAAGTGCCCCACAAAGGCATGAACCACCGACGCCCCGCCCCGAACCAGCCCGCTTCTACATACCAAATGCAGCTTCTTGCTGATGGCACGGAAATTGTTCCTCCTGGCCAGGGAACTAAAGGCATCCGTGATCTTTCCTGAGGAAGAAATCTGTGCTAGGATTTGTCTGAGGTCTTTGGGTTCACGGCACCGCCACAGGGATGCCATTCCGGAAGCGGCAGGCCCGCCTCTTCTCAAGTAGGGGCCTGTCACATCTGAAGGTCCCCCTCAAAGCAGTTTCCCTGCAACTCCCTGGAACTGATCAAGACATTCACACCCTTCTCCCCACCGTCTTCCTCTCCCTTCTCCTCCTCAGCTGCCCCAAGTGCCATCTACAGGGTGACCCAAGTTTACTGGTTAAGTGTGTGGGCTACCTGGGCTCAAATCTGATTTACTAACTGAGGGACACTGAACAAGTCACTTCACGTCTCTAAGCTTCAACTTCCTCATCTGTAAAATAGAGATAATAAACTTTGCTTTGTGATGAGTTAATGAGAAACCATATCTAAAGGGCTTAGCACATAGCAAGTGTTCAACTGGTAAGTGCTGCTACTGACTGAAGGCCAAGGAGCCACGCTGTCCCCGGCCGCCCACCGCACCCCCCGGGCGCTCTGCCTGTGGAGAGAAGGGGGAGCCAGCTGTGCTCCCTGCTCACCTGCAGCCTTGTCTGTCACCAGCTTGCTCACTTTGCTCTCCACGGCTGTGAGGGTGTCCCCCGGGGCCTGCTCTGTTAGGAGCCCAGCTCTCCGCAGATTGGAGAAGGTTAGCAGGTGCTCGGGGCCATAGCTCTGAAGAAAATGGGACTCTGCTGTTCACAGAGCGTCCCCCCGGCCCAGCACCGTGAGGCGATGAGGACATGAGGGAGTGGCTTATGCAGTCTGCGCCCGGAGGAGCTCACACTTGTTTTTGTGAAAGATTTTCCCATCAGAAACAGTCAAAGAAAAATGAAAGCAGCAGGACTCTATTAACAGAGAAAGCTATTGATACGAGTTAGGGAAGCCTTCACAGATGAGGTGAGACTTGAAAAGGAGCAGGCAGGAAAGCTCTGTCAATGCCTCACGCGGCGCGAGTGAGGGAGAGTCCCAGGTGAGAACTCGTCACCCGGCCCATGAGCTGAGCTGTCCAGGTCCCCTCAGCACTGGCCAACCCCCACGACAGTGAGACCAGGGCAGTGGGGAGGCCTGTGCTGAAGGGTGACTATCGCTACAGCCTCTACAAGGGAGGCCAGAATGGGAACAGGGTGGGGATGGGGACAGAGAAGGGGCCATTTCTCTTTCTGCCTCTTTCAAAAATGTGCAGTACCCTCCCTCTGCCAAGTACCCCCAAGAGCATACACTCTCCTGGCCTTACCTGCAGATACTGTGTTTTCAGAGATCGATAGTCCTTGGGAATCAAACCTGAGGGCAGGGAAGGCTCATGAGGAAGAGCCAGCTCAGATGTCCTGAGATGCACAACCAGACCGACCCGCCAACCCTTTTCCCCAAGAAAGACCTAACCAGGAGGAAGAATTCAGTAAATGTCAACCTTGCATCTAATACAGCTGATTCTAAACTAACTCCTGAATTTAAACTTGCTCACGGAAAGATAAAGCCTGGATCTCAGACTTCCAGGGAAGAACCCTGAGTGTAGGTGCTGAGGAGAGGACACAGAAACAAATGCTAACCGCCGTGCCCACGGCAGCGGGATGCGGCGAGAGGGACAAGGGGCTGCCCCTGCATTTCTCCCCAGCACAGGCCGCTTCTACAAGGAACCGCGTTATGGCTGCTGAAGAAAAGGTAAAGTGTGCAAACGAGTTCCAAAGGGCAGTCTTGGACGATTTCCTCTAATGAGATAAGAAGAAACAGACTTCCAAATACAATAAAGGAGATTTAGAATAAGCAAACTATTTCTCTGGGTAGAAGGCAACCTTAAAAAATATTCACCAACTGGAAGACTTCAAAGGTAAAAACAAGTTGCCATAAAAGGCTGTAGAATCTGGGCTTTAGGAAATGTTTATGAAGTAGGCTGTCCCTTTGTCCTGGACTGTATGTCTATTACAGAACCTTGTTGAAGGTACGAGGCCAGATGGAATGAAGAAAGAAATGCCACTCTGCCCTACGCCTGTGAAGTCTTAAGTCATGACAGGCCTTATTCTGGAGAGGCCTGGATGTGTTCCTACTTAGGGTCTTGACAATACATTGCCCTATGACCTGGAGATGTTTCACTTAAAAGAAAAATGGCTTTATTTTACCCGGGGAAGAATCCATAAAATTACAGGGAAACACTGGCTGCTAGGATGTTTGTTTCTCTTCCAAAATGCTTTCTTCTCTCCCTGAGTTATAGTTTTTCTATCTGGCATCCTTGGTCCCCAAGGCTCACCGTTCTCAGTGATGGACAAAAGGCACATGAGGCGAAGGCTTTCTATGGGTGACACCTGCACAGGAAGACAGAGCAGAGTTCAAGTTCATAGCACACGACCTCCTCTCCCCAAGAAACGGCACCCAGGCTCCACCTGCTCACCTGCCGGTCTATGTGCTCCTCAATGTAGCTGGTGCTCTCCCGGATGTTGAAGCCCTCTAGCAGCGCTGCGAGGAGCCAGAGGGGAGCCTGTTATTGGGGGGCAGCTCTGCTGCTGCCATCTATGCTAACAAGCATGTCTCCCCAACTCTTTCTCCACCCTTGGGGTGGGTTAAGGGGCCCCTAGGACTCCTAGCAGAAACCAGCACTGCACACAGCCGGCATCAGCTGAGAAGAGCCCGACAGCATCTTTTTGGGGTGGGATGGGGAGGCTGCCGCCGCCGCCGGGCCCAGCTGCTGCAGTTACCGTGCTCAGTCTTGATGAGTTCCTGGAAGTCCTGCTTGGTTTTCTTCTTCATGATGGATTCACAGGCCCCAATATCTGCAGACAGGACGAAAGTCAGCTGACACAGTCCTGCTTCTAGGATATCTCTTTACTGTCCAAAAGAATAAACACCTCTCAGGAAACACGCAGAAGCACCTCTTCCCATTGCGGACCAAACACGCTCACTATCTGCCAGATGAACAGCTACCCCCTCTAGCACTCCCAGCTCCCTCCCCTCAGGCTGAGACCTACGAAGACTTAGCAGGCGGTGCTCCTGTTTCAGTCCCTTGAGCTCCTGGGACACGAAGTTCTTCATCTGCTTGATGTCCATGCCTCTCCGGCGCTGGGGTGAAGTCCCATAAGGTCAGCCTCTCCCTGCCCTCAGAGAAAGGACACCACTACCTCCCTTATTTCCCCCTGAACCAAGAGCAAAGGCGGGCCTGTCATAGTGTCAGAAGGGGAGCCGAAGGGCAGCAGCCTTGGGAAGCCACTGAGGAAACAAAATAGGACCCCTGGGCTGGAGCCTCACGTCATACTGGGCCTGCAAGTTCCGGGCCTTCTGGCTCAAAAAGCCAAAGACGTTGGAGAAGTGCTCGTTCCGAATCTCATTAAACACCTTGAGGAGAACAAGATGGAAACAATTTACTGTATCAGAAGCACGACTTGTCCCTTCCTACGTCACTAGTGTGATGACAGTGCAGGAGGGGTTCCAGCCGCTGCGGCTGAAGTCCAGGGAAAGCTGAGCTGGTTTCAGCGACTACACGTCAAGTAACTGCCGGGTGCTGTGGGGGGGCAGGGAGTCCCTCCCTCCCGTGCCCACAGCCTTGTGGGAGCAGAGACCCGGGGAAATCCACGGTCAGCACCCCCGCCCTCACCTTGTCCCCAGCATTGAGCAGCACCTTCAGGCTCCTGTCAGAGGATGTGACTTCTGGGCCAAAGTCGACACTCCCTTTGAGACAGACAGGACAGCTCTGAGGAGCTGGTGTGAGGTGATATCTCACGTGGCTTTAATTCGCTCCCAGCTTCACATCGGGGGAGGCCCACCATCTTCCTTCTCCTACCCTTTCCTGAACTGCCATGAAAGGTCCTCTGAACTACTTGGAGGACAGCCGTTCGCTCAGAGTCGCAGTCCCTCCCACCAGCCTGCCCCCAGAGGGAGGCCCCAGAGGCTGAGGGGCACCTCCATCTCCCAAGACCCCGCTCACCACACTTGATGCGGAAAGTGTCGTCCACCAGGCCCTCGTAAACAACCTGAGAGCAAAGTGCTGTCACAAAGTCCACATCTGAAACCGAGATCCCGGGCCGTGAGGGTCCTCCCCAAGGCAGCCTCTAGCCAGCTTGTCAGTGTCGGCTCAAGAGCCTTCCACGGGCCCGTCAAAGCTGGCATTCACTGCCCCAAGTGGAGGATCCCATATTCCCGTGTCTTCTAGGGCCCAATGAGAGGAGCGCTGAGCATGACTTACCTCTGTCCAGGAGGAAGATATGTCCAATTTCTGGCCTTCGGCTCTTGGTTTCGCCATCCTCCTCATCCTCCAGTTTCCTCCACAATTCACGTGACATCTGCCAGGGTCAAAGACGCTCTTAATCCTGTGTCCGGGTCCCTGCCGCGGCCCCACACCTACAGAAACCAACCCCTTTCCATGTGACACTTCTCCCTGAATTATCATTAACAATAATAATTGTTATTGAATAATTAGGTAATTGGGAGCTAATCATTGACAATATTACCTATCCACTCCCATCTGTTCCTGTCCCTGCCCACCCCTCCCATGTCAATGAAGGAGTATCTCCCACCCCCCACCCAAGGTAACGACACCCTGGAATGCTACCCTGGAGGCCCTGGCCCTTGCTTTTCTGTTAGTGACACAAGTTCTCCTCTCTGAGGAGCTCTTCTGGAGCAACAGAAGCAAGGTGACAAGTACGCATCCTGTCACAGATGCTCACAGGCGGCCCTGGGTGGGCGAGAGGAGGAGGAGAGGGGCTCTCAGGACACGGGTACTGGCCGCGCTCACCCTGGCGCATCTGCCGATCCCATAGCAGTTAGGGAAGGGCCCATAGAGAGCGCCCAGGAGGTGCAGGGCCTGGGCCACGGCATTGATCCAACGCTGGTCTCCTTCCTGCAGGGACGCCATGGGCCACAAAGATACGGGTCAATGCGACAGACCCTCCGGGAAGTGGTTCGCCCTAGAAGCCCAGGAGCAGGAAGGCAGGGTTTGGGCACTGTTTGGAGGAGTTGATGCTCATGGCCCCAAAAGAAGTCCCACTGACACACCAGTAGCAACCAAGTTCCAACTCACTGTATGTGTTGGATGAAGGTTATGTCAGTATTTCTGGCCAGCGGATTCCCTGTTTGTCCCCACCCATCAATGCCGAAACCCAGGGGCCCTGCGTTTACCAGGAAGTAGTCCCTGAAAAATTCTGGTAGTTCCATGCTCAGCAGATCCACATCAAGAGGCAGCAAAGAGAAGGCCCATTCATCACAGCTCACGTCTGTGGGTACAGAGAGCATCAGCCCCCCTGCAGAAGGCTCCCAGCTTCATACCAGGGGGAGGCCCACCACAGACAGGCAGAGCATCTGAGCACCTGCCACACGCCCAGGACTGCACTAAGCACAGGATACTCTGTGCCCTGAAGGAGGTGCAATGTAGGAACAAAGGGAAACAGGTACACAACGGCCTGTAATACAGTGCAATAGGGCATTTTCATCAGCATGCCAACCACAGTGCCGAGGAAACATTCATCCACTACTCAACAAAAAGCCGCAGGTGCGCAGGCTCGAGGCCAGGCACGGGGGATTCAGTCGGAAGCAGAATGGACGCACTCCCAATCTTCTGGGGCGTTTGATCTAGTGGGAAGGATAACACTCCAGACAAACGTCAATACAGTTGTGCTCCAAAGAAGTGGCGATTCTGAGCACAGACTTTCCAGGGACCCCACCTCAACTAGGGGTACAGGAAAGCCTTCTCTAGAGAAGCGGCCTTGAGGCTTAGAATTTGAATAACATTTGGGCAGGCAAAATGTGGTCAATGTGGAGATTACTCTAGGCAACAGGAAAAGCAGGTGCGAAGTTCCCATGGCTAGAGGATAGAAAGTCAGAAGGAATGGGCGGCACATGGGAAGGCGAAGGGTCAGGAAGGGGCCAGACTGAAGACTGTGTAGGAGGCCTTGGCAAGGCTTCGGAGCCGGACGTGGACCAGCTGCAGGATTTTCCCCAGGGACTACTGTGATCGGATCGTGTTACATGCAGGACAGGGTGAGGAACACAGAGGCGGGAAGCAGTCTTCCTTGCGGGAGTCTTGGAAGGTAAGAGTAGAGCAGCTGTGGCTTCTGACTCCAAGCCCTGGCAGCCCCTCACCCTGGAGTTCCGATTTGGGGCCCACTCCCATCTCCACTCTCAGGAAAGCTCTCTTCCCGCTGGGCCAACAGGAATGCGACAGGAAAGGAGGAGATGGGGTGGGGTCCAGCAATGACTTCGCTTCCTTCTTCCCTATGTTCTCTCCCTTTCCACTCACATTCTCACCTCCATAGATTCCCTCTTCCTCAAGCACCATCTCACATGCATAAAACTGGAAGAGAAAAGGATGCTGATTAGTCAACCACCTTCTACCCTGTTCTTTCCGTTCTCTGGGGTTCCTCTATGGTCACTGATGAGGACACCACTTGTCGAACCCAGTGAAAAAGACAAGAGAACCCAGACTCTCAGATCTAGAAAGGCCCCCTGGGGTCATCTAGCCCAACACTTTGTTTCCCTGTCATCCACCTTATTTATTTAAGTCAACTGCTTCTGTTTCCCTGAGAGACTGGTAAAGCTCTAGAGAGGAGAAAGTATTTCAGAGGTCACTGAAGGGTGTGTCCTGTAGGCCGAGATGAGAGCAAGGGCGTCCCGGTACCATAGAAACGGTGCAGGTGGGGCCGGAGGAGGTAAAGAGCAGGGGTGCAGAGAGCTGGTTCTGCTAGGGCAGGTCCCTGGGAAAAGAAAGGAACACAAGGGGAGAGGAGAGCTTAGGAGAGGACTCCGAAACATCAAAAGTGCACAAAGTGCAAGACTCGGCAGAGAGAGAATACGTAGCGAGGTGGAATAGGGGAAAACAGCACCTCTCAAGCCAGGGAAGGTCAAAGTTTCAAGGAAGAATGAGCATCTGGGTCAAATGCCAGAGACATACGGTAGGATGAGCAGGACTGGACCGGACCACAGAGACCCCAGGGTATGGACTTAAAGACGAAGATGGAGGTGGGGGCAGGGGCAGCAGATAATCCTTACAAGTTTAGCCACAAAAGAAGACAGTGTCCCTGCCAAGGAGAAGAGATGAAGGGGGACAATGGTTCAGAAGGGACAGACACAGCTGAGCACACATCAGAGTCTATGTGACGAAGCGAGAGAGTAGGAAGGAGAGCTGGGACAGGCCAGGAACATGGTGGGCCCGCTGATCCCAGCTGGGAAAGGCCAGCCAGCGTCTCTTCCCTCCTGTGAGATAAGTAGGGAAAAGATGAAATATTTGGAGGTAACGAGGAGAAAGGTGAGGACACTCCCACCTGAGAATGGTGGTGACAGGAAGAACAGTGGCTGTGCATTAGGCATTGCACATGTACCAGGCATCACTGTTAGCGTCGTGTGAGGCTTGTCTCCTTATTCCTCCTAACAGCTCTGGGGGCAGGTGTGGAAGACGGATGCCCCGTGCTCCCCTCACTTACACAGGCGGTCCTATTCATCCCTCACGCATTTCTGTGGGTAAGCTGACATCTGTAGGCCTGCTTTTAAAGCGAACTAGTGGAATTCCAGAGCCCAGTTTCAACACTGCCAATCTTCATAATCAACAAAGGGAGCGTCAGGAAGAGAGAGACATGCCCTCTTCTCTACAGCTACTGAGGAGGAGATCCTCCTGTGATACAGAATTAGGACAAAGGCAAAACTGGACAGCTACATGTCAGAGAAAGAAACTGGATTACTGTCTAACTCCACACACAGAAGTAAACTCAAAATGGATCAAAGACATGAATGTAAGTCATGAAACCATAAAAC